CTACAGTGCAACATGTCAGAATTGTCCAATGGCAATTATCTTGCCTGAGATAAAAATTAATATGTCTGGAAGGATTTCCGTAGTAAATTTTTTCCTGGGGTTTACGACACAGCTATAAAAAAAAATTAATTGAACTGCAAATGTGCACGAGTTCAAAGAATTCTGTGGATTCTCTTAAAAAAAACTCCAAAAACTTAAAGCAGCAGTCAAGATATTTCTTACAGCACTTTTTGCCACATACATCTGCACTAAACTCTGTTGTCCATACTATACATTGCCAGCATACATTATTGCAGACACCACCACTCTGAGCACCCAGGAAACATTTTAGACTTCAAGGCACTTTCATGCATCCCTGCACGCAGCCCTTGTAAGATGCAGTATGTGAGGCAGCTGATAAGAACTCGCCGAATGGGATGCACTGGAGGAGGCAGGTGCACAGAAAGGCTGTCTCACCCCTTACAGTTATCTCACCATTGTTCCAATGCCATGTGTACAGCACCTTAAAACCAAGGCTGCCCAAATATACTCTTAGACCCATGAAACACCTAATACCACCCCAGATACTCGGGATGGAATCAGACAGACTGACTAGGTAGTACATCCGCAAGAAGGAAGACTGAAAGACTACAGGAGTGCATGTCAGGCAGACAGCAGATCCAGCTGCTGGCTGAAACAATACTGTCCACCCCTCCACCACAGATCATGTGTTCCTACCACACTGCCATGGCCCTGCTCCCTGCCTGAGAAAGCTTCAATGCCTGTCAGATCCTGCACTGAGCAAGTAAAGCTACAGCTTCAGATTAGGGCAGATTATATATATATATTCAGATTATGAATTTGTGCACTTTTTTACTATCATCCAGTATGAATTAATAGCCATAAAACTTCTGTTGTAACAATTAGCTCGTTTGTGAAGCACTGCAATTTCAAGATATCCCAATCAACACGTAATACCTCTCCGTTCCTCATCTTCTATACACACTGTGTCAGGGTTTTAATTTCCTTCAAGAAGGAATTATCAAGCTGTATGACTTGCTCTGTGCATATATACACATATAATTAAAACAAGATTTTAGCCTGACCTCTCTCTTAGAAATTCAGATAAACCTGCTTAACAGAGTTCAACAATTTAAGATTCGCAAAAAGGTACTAAGTGGCTTTTATATGCTAGACTGTATGCTATCTGCTTCAGTGTAATAGCATAGGCCTATAGAACCTGCAACGCACAAATAAATTTGTTTGCCTCCCATCTAAAATAGGTGCTTGCTCATGCATCCATTCCATGGTAAATGTGTACGGGATAAGATCGTATGCTATTACTATTAAGCCATGGCTGCTCCACACTAACTGGCTCATAGCTTCGTGTCCCCTGGAGTGTATGCTGTCTGCTAACCTCCTGGCAGTGGCTCAGATCTGGTCTCCGAATGCTCAGCAGCATTTCATGCTAACTGACACCAGAGCCTGTACTACTACGCAAATTTCTCCAAGTCTGAGGATGCTGTGTGCCAGGAAATTAAGAAATGGAAGCGAATAGAGAGTTGTCAGATTAGGAAGGTGGCCGGAAAACAGAGAGAGAGGCTTGAAGGAGAGGCTGAAATTAGCTTGGAGAGGCATGCAAGTACAGCAGGAAGCCCTGCAGATTCTTGTAGCTACAGAAACAAACCGCTAGCTACCGATTAGAGCTGAATACTGAAAAAGGAATACCCAGTTCCTGGTTTTACAAAAAATAAGCACAGAAAATCTGTGCCCATCAGCTCAAAGTTAGTGAGGCAGTCTCGTCTGAGCAGTACACCTATTAAAAGTACCTACTTCACTTTCCTTAAATGTTTCTTAACTATGTGCCTGCAAGGATACAGGTCCCTGCCAGCCTAAACCATTCTGTGACTCTAAGGATAGATACTGACCTACGTCAGAAGAGGCATATGCCATAGCTTCTGGCTTGAGTAGAACTTTGAAAACAATATTGGATTTTCAAAACTGATAAGACTGTGGATTCAGAACAAGGCCAAAGTCCTAGTGCAGTCTATAATTAAACAATTCCATTCTTATTTTGAAAAAAAACAAACCAAAACAAACAGAAACTGCTTCTTGCCCAACAGTTTTAAAAACAAAAACCACTTGAGAGAGGACAATTAAAACAATGTAAAATGCTGCCAAACGGGAAAAACCAAGGCCTACATACGATCAACACCTTCCTCAAGCAAAAAAGCTGCTCTGCATGATCCACTGTGTTTAGCCTCCTATGTGTTTAAACATGCAAGAAAAGAAATGTAACACTTCAGACTGCCTTCCAATAACAAAGTGCTGTATATTACCAATGTAGCCCCTTAACAGGCTTATAAAATCCTCAAAGCTCCTCTAACACCATTTGTGGTTGTTGCCCTGCCTGTTAATAGCACAGGAGGCTTAACAGCACAATTCATCTAGATCCATTCACCAAACATTTGCCACAAGTACTCAACCTCATCTGTCATGGAAACATATACATACAAATAAACATGATTTCCCATCGTGCCCTCAGACATAAGCTCTAAGTGATGCTGTATCCCTTTTACTTAGGCATATCATCAACCGTACTCTCAAAACACAAGAAGGGATAATTAAGCTCCTTACAGAACAGGTCCAGCATAGGCTAGTGCAAGAGAGGATTCTCCTTGCAGTCACTCAGACACCTATTGAGCAATGGGCCTCTGAATCAACAGTTTCATCTCCAAAGAAGTGAAACCCTGGCAGAAGTGCTAGTAGAGTCAGGCTAGTATCAATTACGTTGAGCACTGGAAGCTAGGAGACCACCTTTTTGGACCACAAGCTGAAAAAAGCCACGAGACAGTGGCTGATTTGTTTATCCTCCTGGGCTATATTTGAACTGGTGATTCACCATGTCTGTCTTACTAATAATTCCTTCAGCCATTTCAGGCCCCTTCTGTAACCTCCAGACGTCTTCAGAACTCAACTATTACTCTACACACACTTCAAGATGAAAAATGCCACTACTGTTGCCAGAAAACACAACTAATTCCACCACTTGGAACATACACAGCTCTTAACTTTTAAAAGCTCTGTAAAACCAAAGAACAACTACCGTATTGGACACAACTGTGTGTGGATTCCCTACAACATCAACTTATGATGGCCTTCAGTTGTGTTTTTTCTTACTGAAGGCATTAAATGTCCATCTTGGGCCACATAAGAAAAGCAGTGATCACAACATGTACTTTTATAATATGTCACTAAAGCTATGCTGTTTCTCGAAATTTTGCAGCGACCTTCTTCAGGCTAAAACTTTTCCTCTTTGGTCTCAAGATGTTTTAGGAATCTCTTCTGTTATTCTGAATTATAACTATATAAAGTTATTCTTTGAAGTCTGTCTTAGATTTATTTGCTTGCCAAGAACTCAAAAATAGCTGAACAAAGCAAGCAGCTACAAAGTTAGCTCTCCATGAGGAAGCATCTGCGCTGTTCTCATTTTCTTGGCTTTCTGGGTGGAGAGGGACATTTAAATGGCAAGCAACTGGGATGAAGGGCGGGGGGGGAGGGACAAACAAACAAAAACCAAAAAGCCACACTGAGGAAGATCAGCCAAGATTTAGTACAACACCACATTATGAACCTCCATCTCTTCTAGGACATGTTTAGTGAGTGGAAGGGCCTGAAACCTCCCTGTTTTAACTGATCAGAGGTTCAAAAGAAATTGGCAATGTCAGCAAAGCCTGCCCCTCTGAAGGACTAGATCAGCCATCTAATGCCAAATCTTAGAAACAGTTCCTCTACTGAGCGGGGGGGGGGGGGGGGGGAAACAATAAAAAAAAC